GTCGTTCTGCATGGCAAAACATAGTAAATAAATACAATTTTGTTTACCTTTCAGGTTCCTTTTTTCCTTCGTCTTTATTAAAGTTCTTGACAAATTTAGTTCTGAAAATTCAATCTTCGCCATATATGTACTTTTTTATCTAGAGCTCTGTTTTTAGTGATGCTAAGAGCAACCAAAAATACACACCTAACAGCTAAAATTAGCTAAATTTTCTCGAAAATTCTTATATAGCTAGTTAACATTCTTAATTGTAATAATTTTAAAAGGTTTGGGCGCAGAAAGAACCCAATAACAAGACACTATCCTTTCCATCGCACGAAAAGCATGTGAGCACTTTTCTCTGTGAGAAGACAAACTTTACAAATTTTGTAAACTTTAATTTCCATTATATTATTTATTTGTAGAACATGGCTATTACGCAAATGATTTAAAGAAAACTACGTCACCCAATTGTGTCACGTAACGTAAATTGGCCACCGCGAGGAGTTTAAAAGCTAACGTTTCAAGCGTTAGCCCTTCGTCAGAGCAACTGGAGGAATTGTGGGTTGCGAGTGGTTTTAAATGCAGAAATGCTACGCTATTGGTGAGGATATGGTAACGAGAAAACAAGAATAAATTAGTTGAATCAAAAGCGCTCGTTGATATCGTGGGGATAAAGGGTGCCGATTTGAAAGATAAATTTTTGTTCTAGAGTTTTCCAGCTTTCCGAACTGCCTAGATCTAGGGAAAGGCCGGAAATTACCATATGCTATTTAGAATGATTAGGGAGATTAAAGTGTCCGGCGACTGGTTTGAATGTGTCCTTGTCGTTTCTTTCTACCTCGCGAAGGTTTTCTCGAAATCGTTCACCTAGTCGTCTCACTGTTTCACCGATGTTTAATTTTTTGTAATAAGTGCAAGTTATGCAGTAGATGACATTGGCAGAGGTGCACGTGAAGTGTTTAGTGATCTTAATGGATCTCTTGGGTCCCGGCATTTTCTCATTTTATTTCTAGAATAATTCCCAGCATTAATTTATAATTTTATCTAGCACAAGCTACTCCAAGAAAATCATTGCTTTAAAAAAAATTGCATTGAAGCATTACATAGACGACAAGTCATCAAAAGTATACTCTTAATAATATCAAGAAAGTAAGAAAATACTAAAAATTACAATGATTTCTAACAATATCCGCTTAATTAATATATTGAAATGCGAACAAGCTATCACCTAAGTATACTGCAATTTTCCAAATCAATGAATTGACACAATATCAATGAATAAAACTTCATTGCTTTCACTTCGACTTTTACTTTTACTTAGATATAGGTATTCGCATGAGGCCGAATGGAAATTAATCCTTTAACCCCCGAAAGTGATTAGTAACTATTTTCTCCTACCAGTATCATCCCTAAAACAAACATTGAGATCATGAGAATAAAGGAAATGATCACCAACTTAACAAGCTCTTGATTGTTAAACAAATTCTCCTTGTCAGTGCCTTAGGAATTGTAAAGAGAACAGTATGGAGATAATGCACATTGATGTTAGGGTGTAAAGGGTTAAGGGTTAATATCACGCGTGTTTCAGAAGTTGTAGAAATTTCTCGAGTAGGTGATACTAATCCTTAATTTTTACGAGGAAACAAGCGATTACTTGTTTATGATATTAAGGGCAAAATTCTCTTTCATTTATAACAGAGGGCAAAATTACTACATATTTATTGGCTGAGACAGAGGACATTTTTCATCAATTTTGGTAATTGCCCCGGGCAATTATCAAAATTTAGAAAACATTAAAAAAGGCTGAATTTTGCTAACAAAATTTCTAATATCATTAATGGCGAGTGTTTTTTAGCAAGGTTGCTCTAATTGCTTTGGCGTTGTTGTTCAAAGACAGAATTACATTCAGCCAAGAGAATATAAACAGTTTACATTATCTTGAATCTGCTGATTCGTGCGTTTTACAGTTCATTGACGTTAAATGAACACTGGAAGCTAATAAGCATTTAGTAATATTGCCCTCTATCTTGTAAGGTGGTAAATACTTATATCTATCTATGATCATCTACATTCCTTTCTCATATGGACACTACCAACAACTAGATCCTTCAATGATTGATTATCGATTATAAGCTTATAAATTTTAAACTAAGAGAATAAGAAAACTGATATAAAAGTTAAGCAAGCTATTTTTCTATATCCATAGGATAAAAAGATCACTACAAATTGTAGATTATGATTACCAAACCAGAACACAACACCATATTTAGAAATAGTATTACATGGATTTAGATTTATCAACCATCCATGACTAAGGAAGGGATAATGACATAATAATATGCTTATTCCCCTTACTCCCGAATGTTTTCTTCCATTCAGGCTTTTCGCGGTTCTGCGCATCTTACGCATACCAGCGGCCATTTTTTTTTTTTGAATGATAGTAAGATCGAACCAGGACCGAGAAAATTTAACCCTTCAACTCCTAAGATCCAATTATTTATTCTCCCAACTAACTGCTATACATTTCTTTGTAAATTCGTTTGGAAAATTCAATTTTGAATCAAGGTAATCTCTAGCGGATTAGCTCGTCCTTTCTCGTAGCCTGTTTATTAGATAACATATTGGAATTTCAATGAAAAAACGCATTTTCTTTCACTTCAAACACGTCTGATGTTAATCAAACTTTAAAAAAAACCTACGTCCTAGTTTTGGATTTTCTCCTCAATTTTTCGCTTTTGTTTAGAGAAGGTTTGTTTTTTTCGTAGATCTATACACTTGTTGTCTGAGCGGGATGGCAGGACGCGAAATTATTTTGCCTGATTTCATGACTGAGTCCGTCCCAACTAGGCTTCTAGTCATATAACAGCCGCCTTTTTTTCCGGCCCTGCTCACGCAATAGCGAACGGCCTTCATGCGAGAATTCTTGTCTAAAGTTTTAAAATTAGCTTCGTATGCTTCAAGAGCGACTCAAACATTTAGCGTAGCAGTCCTCACGCGTCTGTTTTATGCAATCATGTTTCCGGCGGCCAAAATAATTTTGCACCCATTTGAATACTAATGCCATGCGCTTACCAGACGCCTATCAACAATCTTGACGTAGTACTGTGCTTAACACTTCTGTGAGTTCCCGGCAGGGGAGGAAACAAAAAAATAACCGCTCAAACTCATACAACTCACATAAGAGAGAAAGAAGAAACTACTTGCTTCTAAAGCAATAACAGTTTGCTTATACAATACCGTACTAGTTTTATATATCAACCCCACAAACATCATTCTTAAGCTTATATCTTTTTCCTGAGGTATACCAAGGGGGGACATATAAGTACGTAATGCTAACCTCTTTCTTTTTTTGCGGAATTCTTCCGTAATTCATCTTGTGAGTTAGTCTATTCCGCACAATATATTCATATATATCAACATGGCTGTTTTAAGGAATTAACCTGTAGCAAGTCTCCAGCCAGCTTTGGTAATAGAGAGAGAAATGTGCGAAGAAAAAGTCTGAGCACTAAAAGGGAGGGGGTGGGGGAGGGGACCAAACCGGTCCGACTACCAATCAGATTATTTACAAGTGTGCTACAAAGAGCTCCCTCAAATTTTTAAATTATATAATTATGAGCATAATTAATAAATAAGACGCTAAAGTGTATACTCATAAAATGTTAAAATATGATAAAATATTTGTCAATAAGACAATGCTACAAAACAAAATTATTGATTTCTTCTATCGATGGCTGCTAAAAAACATTCGCAATATGATGATAAAACTAAAGCTTATATGTACATCAGCAGAACATAAAAAAATTATATTTTTCCCTCCCCACTATTATCTACAGCCTAATTGTTAAATATGCTCATGATTAAGTGGAGTTAGTCCTTCACTCTCACGGATGTTAAACTCGCCAACATCTCCAATTAGGTTATCTTATTGAGAAAAAATATCAGTCGAAAAGCAACTAAGTAAACCTAGTACAGTATATGAGAAGAACGATTGTACTCATTAAAACTATTTCTTTCCAACAAAGTGTTTGCCAATAACACTGTGTGGCCTGCATTCCTCAATTGTTCTGTCCATAGAGTAACTTAGCTGCTAAACACAGGGTGTAGAATTAATTCCTAAAAATAAATGTCTCTTTTTTTTCATTTTTTTCCCTACATAATTGTAAAAAAAACCTTATTCCCCCTTTCTTTATAATTTTGCTCCATTATTCATCTTCGCAATAGATGAAAAATGTTTCTTTTGACCCTCTCTATACACTGTAATTGGCTTTAAAAAAAAACCTTGGGGGGGGGGGGTCTGCTCACTGAAAACATGAAATTCCATCATGCGTCATCATGTCATGTAGTAAAAGGGGTATATTGAGAATGTATTGGCTATTACTTGCGTGAATTGATCACGAACTTCTAATAATAGGACTCGCACTGCTGTCAGCCTGTCCTAGGTCGTCATATTTTGTTTAGTCAAACGCTGAAACGGAATTGCCTGCTCATTTAATTTACCACAGGTTAGCTAATTGGCGTTATCAATGCCAGGATACTTTTAAGTTCTTATGAAACCCATAAAACTCTTGGGAAAAGAGGGGCAACAGGGAGTTTATGACCTTGCCCAAGGGTAAAACGCATTTCCAGGTAAACGCACCCGACTTAATGCCTTGGTATCGAATACGTATTTAATGCGCCTCCACCGACAACGACCAGTCCTGGCTTTAACGCTATCACTTACCATCACGTGATCTTCACTTGCAGCACGACGCTGTCATCTGTTCATGATCGTTGATCGACATCAACTAGAGACCGTCTGGTTTCTGCAAGGTAGCTCTGTGGAATGCCTGGACAAAAATCAGAATATGTACTACATGAAGGAGTGCATCTGTTTTCTTCGTTTTACCAGAAGTGATCCCTCTACCCTAAATGGCAAGCGAAATGTACGAGTTCGAGGCATTATGAGCGAGTGAAATCGAAGAAAGAAGGTGAGCCGAAACCCCTGTAAATTTATCCTTAAATTTAGGGGACATTCATATCTACAAATCAGAAGTATCTACAATTATTTTTAGGAACATGGTGTCGTCCCGAACATATGCGTGATTATTCAGCTCAGCAAGCGAGCAGAACATTGGACACCCACTGGCGATGTTTGTTTCTCTTCTTGGCCTCTGAAAGGATGAGCTGTTCGGATCAGGTCTGAAGGCGTCAATCACGTGTTCCACGTTATCCTGGTCCAGTAACATGAAGGTGACCTTCTGCCTGAATGGCCAACGGAGAAGTGCATCATACTGACCGCGCATGACCACAAAGAAGATCGAGATGTGCGTTCCTCTACCCATTCCATCCCCGTTCAGGTAAATGCGGGCGCACATTTTGTAGCCATAGCGGCTAGTGAAGAAACACGGGCTATAGAAGGAGACTTGCTGTCCCGTCACTGCGTCGTTTCGTTTGCGAGCATAATCAGAAATCCTCCACAAAAGCTGGCCATCGTAGCTTGAGAACTCTTGCTGTTTTACGTATTCCTCCAAATCAGCCAGTGTTACATTTCTGAGTGCCAGTGTGTGCTCTATAGATTCAATCCTTCGGTCATGCCTTCTGGTGCTCTCCTGGGTGGTGTCAAGTTGCCTTCTAATGTTACCCACATCACGTCTAACTTCCTCCATAGTGCGATTGTTCTCGACTAGAAGAACCTCGTGGTCAGCGGTCCTGTTCTCAATATTTGTAACTCTCCTTGTATACTCATCACTTGATGAACTGGCGTCATTTGGAACTCGCTGTTCCGACGATGGTGCCCCAGAGACAGTACCTGATGCCAACTTTCGCTCCAAAGTAGTTATGCGGCCACTATTTTCTTGTAGTTTACCTTGAAGGCTTCTGAGGTCGTCAGCTCTGATCTGTAGTTGATTCTGTAGATCTTGGATTAGACTGTCGTGGTTTGTCAAAAGTTGAGGGTTTCTGGACGCAATCCGCGGGTCACGGGTAAGAGTGGCCTCCAATTCTTTGTTCATCTTAATTGCAAACTGAAGCAGCAGAACAGTATGTTGAGCATTTGCCTTCTCCAAATGCTGTTTCTTTTCCTTTTGGTTTAGAACCTGTCAGATCGCAGAAGATACAATGCATCACTATGAGATGCTACCGAACAGTTGACTGCGACAACAAATTAGTTAATATCCTGAGAGTCAGCAGCCTGACTCATTTTCCATAGCAATAAATTTAATTTCGAAATCCCTATTGTGACTGCGTGATGAATTGCTTAGTGTCTTGTCTCATTCAAATGTTCGTACGTTGCAAACAAAACTTTTCATTCCCGACTGGTGTCGAACTTACAACTCTCCGCCACACCAGCTCTGTCCCCTGAGGAAATGAGCGATATAGTTTCAGGCTCTATAAAAGGCTGCAGAGTTTATCTCTTTTTCCTCTGCCTACGACAAATGCATTGCGTTTATCGAGTAATGCGCCGATCAATTCGAAGCTTTAACATCCCCCACCGGACAACCGACTGGCATTTGATCATCGTCCGTACCGGGAGGTGGGGAACTTTAACCTTGCTGGGTGGGGTCAGGAATTTGAACCGGAAGTGTCGAGTCTATCCAACGTTATACGCGTGTTCTAATGGAGGTAAAGAGTCTGCTTCCGTAGGCAAATGGATGAAAAAGACATGTTTCACACTGTAGAATGACGCTTACAAGCAAATAACACAACAGCAGCACCAAAAACTAATCCGTGACTTTGCTTAATTCTAAAACATTTGTCGATCTCACAAAGAATCGCTCAATATTGGATGGCGCATTTGAGCGCAATTTTGAACTAGGTGGAGGAGGGAGGATTGAAAACGATTTAATCTTCAAAAGTTCAAATACCCGGGGGTTTGCCTGGGGGAGATGTTGAAGCTTCGAATTGATCGACACATAAAGTAAACACAACTGCTGCTCGTACCTGGTAAATGCTCTCGTTTATATCTGATTGCTTAGGGCCTTATTGAGGACCTTTTTTTATAGAGGTGTGTTGTGAAAATGTTACGTTAATATTAGTTAAGTACTAATAGAATAACTAACAATAGTTTAAGTCACAAAATTCGAGTGTGTACTTACATCCGTTTTCGGGCAGCCAATCTGAGAGAAGGGGCATGGTCCCAGTGCGGCTTCACAGTCGCCCAGGAGAGGATTCTGGTGATCTTTCAACTTCAAACAGAAGAATAAAAAAATTTAATCATAACTGTTCAAGCGTACCAAAGCCCAAGTTAGTCACAGAACTACCATTTTTTTGCAACGGTTAATGCAAAGCAGGCCTCTATTTATCCCCATTTACTGTACGTTAGATCTCGAATTTAAAATAATTCAACTTTCTGTAATATTTATGACCTAAAAAAAAAATGCTAAGCCATTCTTCTCCCTCCCCATGTCCAGATCATAGAAGCAGTCGATCAGTATTGAATGAGGATGACTAAAGTCTTCTTGAGCACATTTAAGCCAACCCCCTCCCCTCCCTATCTCTGCTGCTCTGTACATACGAAAGGTAAGATTGCTTACATGTATCACACAGCTTTTTCAATTATTCGCTTCATTCAAGATTTAAAGCTGGCTGTGCTCCTAATTTTTTTGTGGCGTGTTGCAGATGGTAACACCATGAAAGCAGACTAATAGACATAGTCTCATTAAATGCTGGTGCATAAATCAGTTGCCACAGAGCCCCATTATGAACAGAATTCTATGAACCGAATTCCGAGAGGTCGCTCACTGCTTAACCCTTTAACTCCCAAGAGTGATCAAGACGGAATTTCTCTTTACATTATCAATACAGTATCAAGCATACAAGTGTCGAGAATAAAGAAGAAAACTCAATTAGGGAACTACAAGTTGATCCGCAACCAAATTCTCCAACTGACATCATAAGTAATTTATGGCAGGCAGCAGGGAGAATTGTTAATGACATCTCGGTGAGATCTGGGGAGTGGAAGAGTTAGCAAGCTATCAGAAAACCCACATTCCCCTAATGATGCCCCAAAATCTCTTAAAATAATTAATAAAAATGGAAAATAGGGTCTGAGGCACAAGAGTTAAAGCAATTGACAACCAATAACAATATTTAAAATTGTTTTCAATTATTTCTTATTGGCCAAATTGTTGGTATCTGGAATCCTTTAATCATACAAAAGGTTTAATTGCCTTTGTGTTTGTTTTTAAATGCTGTATAGGAATTACCTTAGGATTATTACAAAACATTTTTTATCAGAAGGTACGTGTTCTTACTTTGCCTCGAAGAATTCCATCTTTATTGCATTTTTCACACGTAACTGGATATGCAGGACACTCTGTATCCTGGTGTTGCTGTAGAAAAAAATATAAGTTTTAACAAACTACCATATCGATGACGGAGAAAGCAATTTTTAAACCTATGTGACGTATGTTTGAGGTCCTCAGGTCCTTAAAAAATTGCCTCATTGGCATTTTTATTTGGCTGAGCAATGTGTGGTTCTAAGTTATTTTTGATAAACTAATTAAGAATGACCATTATTTCATCCGTCTCCTTTAGGAGGTGCTCGTGGAAAATTATGCAACAGTGGACCTCTCTGGAGTGCGGTGTCCCCTTAATTTTTGTTACAATGTAAAGAATTAAGCCCTGGTCTTATCAAGAGGGGCTCGACATATCGGACTTCAGTGGATCACTTAAAAAAGAACTGATCCAAAAAAATGCTGAATAAAAGTGCAAATACTTACAACTGTAAGTATTCGACTCGATCAACTCGATCAAGTTGGAGCTTCAACATCCCTCTCCGGGCAAACCCTGGGGCATTTGGATTTTTGAAAATTAAATCGTTCAAATTCCCGCCCAATATTGTACGATTCTTTGTGTGAATTTAGAAAAGTCACATATTAGTTTTTGGTACTGCTTTTGAGGTTTTCGTCAATAAGCATCATTTCACGATATAAAAATTGTCCTCGAGGCCATTCACTCACGGAAGCAGACTCTTTACCTTAAAAATCCTCCATTAAAACACGTGTATTACGCTAGAAATATTTGTTACTTTCGGTTCGAATGCCTTACTCTACCCAGGTAAAGTTCAAATTCCTCAAACCCCCCTCCTGGTACGGGTGACAACCAAATGCCCGTGAGTTGCCCGGGGACGAGATGTTGAAGTTTCAAATCGATCGGCGCAAAATAGTCCGATAAAAAGTATTTTTGGGGTCCAAAGAAAACTCCTGAGCAAAACGATTGGCATAAGATCTTACTCTCTCTATTGAGTACCCAGTTTGGAAGGTAGGGGGGCCTTTAAAGCAATTTTGAGGAAGGTACCCTGAAGGATTGTAACATAAGAAGATTAACCTATAAATCTAATTGGAAGTGGTACCCAAGTTTAATAGGCCCTAAGGCTTTCTTGTTTTTAGTCACAATAAGCCAACATGGACAACCGTGGCAATCATACTTCAAACCGTTAATTATTGAAATAGAACTACAGGATGAGTTCAAGTTCCCTCTAAAGTCAGTCAGTCAGAGAATCACCTTGAGACCACTTAGATTGTGAGATTCTACAAATCATCAATGAATAGTTTAAATGAAGATACATAACACCAAGTGCTATGTAAAAGGTGCCTGCAAAAGTATCGGTACCCCTTGATAAGTGGAGGTTTATATATTCAACGGGATGGTTAATAAATCACCGATCACGAGGAAAGCTAGGCAGAGAGCAGAGAGTGAGTTTGGTTCTATAATGTTCGAAATGATTTACCTTAATCCTGAACAAGACTATCTGTCTTTGACAAAATGTACACTTCTCCAGTCGGAACATGCATTCGTTTTCCAAATGTGAAGTGAGATCAGATTTTTTTACTAGCATGCCACACTCAGGATGTACACAGGGTATCTTCAGGAACTCGCATGAGTTCATATGGCTCTGTAAGTCAACAATAAGAACAATACCGAAGAAAAATGTTGTCTAATAAAGTAATAAATGTGACTCTCTACGGGATTTCAGGGAATAAGGTGAACGCGCGCTCACGGTACTCTAGCACGCCCAGAACAACAGAGCGAGCTTTTGACACGTTAGCCGCGTGTAGGTTACTTGCCTCATCAACTTCGCAGCTATTATCTTGCTTCGCAAGGTAGAAACAAAGGAACGTGTTAAGCTCTTGCTCGCGACTTTGCACGATATAACACGGTGACCGTGCCAATTTTTAACACGCTTCTTAAAGTTAGAGCTGCTTTCGATTTGTACAAAAAGTACGTCCTAAGCTTTAAGGCTTTTTAGCTCACCAATACGCCCAGCCGATATACGATACTCAGTATCCAGTGCAACCAATTCGCCAAACATAAAGGATTATCTCGACTTGTTGTCCATCATTTAAAACTTTTTGATTTTTCCTTTATTTTCGAATTTCTCATTTTCTTAAAACAGCTTGCAAAACACGGACCGAACGAGCAAAGTCCTCTACTCTTGAGATCGTGCATGAACTTTTGAAGGCAGCGAGCCTTGTACAAGTTTTCAAAATAATAAGAGCGAACCTGTATGATGCAAAGCAAATGGCTACTTCGTTGAGGGTGAACTGTGTTCTCACCGTGTTTGTCTGTTCTGCTAGTCTCCTAGGCGTTATTTATTTATGTAGCTAAATTTGTAAACCGACAAGTACGACAGTCTGTGTGGTGCAGTGGTAGCGTCATCCAGAGGAGAAACTTAAAGGTTGCTCGGTTTGCAAACTAAGAAACTTGTTAATACCTTCGACAATTTTAATTTTATTATCCTCTCGTTGCAGTTACGTTACACAAGGTATAGATCGCAGTGCTAAAGACTAGGGGCTCGTAAGATGCCAAGAACAGCGTACAGTAATTAATACGCGGCTTCGCTTGGAAAGCTTCTTTTTGCGCCGGCTAACAAGCGGTTATTTATTTTAAAAATGCCGGTTTGCAAGAGTGACGAGCTGCAACCGCGTAGGGGACATGGAGCCGGAAATCTGTTGCTAAAGGATTCACAAAGATTCGGTACTGGGCTTATTAACTGCGTCAAGCGATAAGGATTTATATTTTACGAGGTAAGAGTTAAGTTAAAAAAAAGTAATTCATGTGTTCAAACTGAGCTCCTCTGGACCTTGTGAAACACGTTGTGTTCACTGAGAAAGAGCCGTAATTTTCCATGAAAATTTCGTTTTTTATAGCAACTTTCGGATAGGACAGAAGACCTTCGTTTTCGCTTTTATTCTGTACAAACACCATTCTCACAATAGTTTATTAGGAATCTGACAAACACAACTTACAAAGTAAGCTGGGTTGTACAAGATAAGCTTGCGTGTTAAGGAACAAAGGAACTAAGTGTGTTAGAAAAAAAATCTAGCGTGTTATGGAAACAAAGCTCTTCCGTGTTAGCTAGATATGAACAATGGCTACAACACGCCTTCCAAAATCAATTGTTTTTACGCGCATATCTGCACGGTAAGCGTGTCATGCCATTAGCGTGCGAGCGTGTTATAACGTGCCGTGTGCGTGCGTTCACCTTAGTCCCTGGAACCCCGTGGAGGGTTGCAAATAAAGATTGAAAGAGCATTAGAGGAAAGTAGACCGCTCACGGCAAGATACACCCATATTATGCGAGTCCTCTGGAAATTTTTCCGTCAGCTTCAGAAGAGCAAAGTAACACTAACTAGCTCAGGCCAAAAAGAAAAAAGGTTCGAGCTTTTGTTTGGTCATTATCACAAGCATTGAGCCTTATGCTATTTAATAAGTATAGATATCGTAACGTTGCTGAAATTGGCAATTCCTCCATTTCAATTAACAGCAATGTTGTGATACAATAATCCATGCAGGCGATAAAGAAAGATGGGGAGGGAGGCTGTACATGGCATCCAGTCAATGCTACTCGGCGAAGGGATAAAAATATGTGGATGGCTCTCTAAGATTTAAGGCCCCTTAAAAAAAACATACCTTGTGACAGCTAGTATGAAGAATAATAGCATTGTCTTCTCAGGCGAGGCAGACACACGTACAACTACGCGATCTTTAAACGATTCGCAAGGAAATTTAAAATTAAAATTCTAAACTGAATGTGTCTCTAGACCAGTGAATCAAGGTTTCAGCCACTGAGATGTCAAGTGTGACTTGTTCTTATTACAATGGATGTTAGCTGACGGTGGAAACGTGAAGGGGATGAATGTAAAAGTTTCAACGATGCGTACGAATGGATGCAAACGTGCTTCATGTAATCATCAAATAAATGCGAAAATATGTACACGCCATGCTTGAAGAATCACAACTGTCTATCCAAGGATACCAAAAAATTACATACCTCTAAATATCTCACTTCTCCCTTCCAAACACACCCATCCTCCATGAAAGTGCAGTGAACGACGAGAGCAAGTATTTCACGACGCATAAATTTGTCTGGAAAAACCTGTAAAACATATATACCATAAATGTGCTGTAAAGGAATCCAGAGGTAATGGAACACCCGTCTAGCGAAGACGTAACAGTGGTAAAGTCCATTACAAGAGCTTTCCACTCGGACTTTGAGAAAATCCTTGGTGCCATCGGAGCGGGCGAAAACCAAGTATAACAAGATTATGATTACTTAATAAACATACCTCGTTCTGATGAAGACTCGTTTGGTCCTTCAAGCAAACCATCACAAGTGTTTGCTGGTCCCTAGTGAAAAGATTGTTCGTAATGTTAATTTTCTTGTATTACTGAAGTAAGCCTTCCTTGTCATTTTATATTCAGTGGTAGGAAAAGTTAAGAAAATTTTCATGATACACCTTTGCCATTGGATTAAACACCTGGATACAGAAGAGGTAGAAGAGGCATTCTGCAGAAGTGCAGTTCAAACAGAAGATTCTTGTAGAATGGGGGGGGGAGGAGAGAGATGGGCTCAATCATGGTGGCTATCATCAAACTCCACTGGGACATGCCTAACAGTCAGCATGCAAATATCGTTTACCAATTTCATTAGCAAAAGTGGTTAGGAATGTCAACTGTGATGTTGGTGCAAGTGACGGTGATCTTTCTTGTAATGGGGAGAAGTTATTCCCTTAGTAGATGCTTAACTAAGTTTTTATCTTAATGCTGGTAATCAGTCGTTTTCTCCCTGTAAAAACTAATTAATTGGCTCCGATCGAAAATTTTATTATAGGTCATGCAGGGACATGGGGCAAAACCCCCTGGGTAGAGGCCGATAAGTCTGAGTAAGGGAGTCCTGATGAAAGAATGACACTTGACATTAATGCAAAAGTTGAAAAACAGTGAGTTTTGTTGAGATGTACACCTGGATTACCAAATAAATGGTATGACTGACAATTTTAGGACAAGGAGAGAAAATTGCAGATAAGTTTTTGGCGTTACAATTTGATGAAACGCCCGAAAATAGCTATTATCGGCGAAATTTCTTCCACCCATCTGCCGATAAGCAAACTTTACCTCTTTACCATTACATGCGTATAACTTTATGGAATCTAGAAAACCCCGTGAAAACTGTTAGGGAGAGGGAGGTCAAGGGAATCGGGTTGATTCCATGCAGGAGTGCCCTGGCACTACCATTACGCTGAGTCATCGTATCTATCACCAAACCATTGGAAGACAAGGCTTAAAGCCAGAATCTAGTCGATGTTCCCTAGTTTGACTCCAGGGGAGTGCAGCGGTTTGAATACTGCTTCATTAGAGACTTTTCTCTCTTTTTTCAGGGGCTGCAATTTACACTTGATCGTCAATTGAATTGGGGAATTCCTGCAACTGAATTGTGGAAGGATGGAGGTAACTGCCACTATGCAGTTGGGGACCTTCGGTTTTATTGCAGGCTTATGGGGTAAGAGTCCATATTTGAATTCGTTTTTACTGGAATGAAGGAAAAATGCGACTCTTGTTTGTGCTTGGAAAGACATCCTCTTCATTACAGGGCTCGGTCATGGTGGACATAACAAAACTCCATAGATTAATCATCGGGAATGGAGTGGGATTTAGACTCAGAGGGAGGTCCGACAGCCAGTATACAACTAGAATTCCCTGAATTCACTGACGGAAAAATGGTAGAGGGGGTAACTGAGGGGTGAAGTTGAGGAGGGGACCCTGGATCCAGAGACAGATATATCAGCCAGTAAGCAACATGGATCCCCTTGATATATTGGCGGAGAGCAGGGACGGCGTGAAACCTACCGTGTAAGTGCATTTTTGTTAGTAATATATCCTGTAATGAGGAGAAGAATTACTTAGTTGTTATTTCCTTAGGGTTTAAAAAAATTACTTGAGGTATCAGGAGCTCTTTCCTTTTAAGAATTAGCTGGTTGCGTCTCGGAGAAAAGTAGAAGTTTTTCTTGTATGGGAAGTGGATTAAATCTGGAAAGTGACTTATGGAGTGAATTGAGGTGCGAGTGAACTACGTAAGGCTTTTCAAGTAATATTTACAGCTTTAATCATAAGACTTCAATTTGTTCCACTCGCATATAGCCGTCATTATCTTCAGGAGGCTGATGCATACAGAAATTATATTGCCAGGTAAGATTTTGTTTTACTAGTGAGTAGTATCATCAAATTAACAAAACTTTAGGGGCAATAATAGCCAAGGTATTCTGTTCATCACAACGGAGCAGAATAAAATATACAGAACAAATTTAGTAAGGAAATAGTCCTCTATCCAACTGTTTCATAGACAGTTATGTGACCATGTACAGTAGCACTATCTCTCAGGGAGTGAAGGTTTGGCGCAAAATCAGCCAAAGAGAAAGCTCCATCAGAAAACAACGAACAAAACAAAGACAGTGTTTTAATTTGTCGCTACAACCGTAATCTTAGAAAAATAATACCTGAGCAGAGATTATAAACTGTACATGATCTCTTGTACCTGAAATATTGCTTTTTTTCCAGAATAACACATTACTGTTTTTCGTTTTCAAAGCCAACGCCCCTGTTAGACACTGGAAAATCGTATGTCTATTGGTTAATCATTTTGTACAGGGATTCTCCGCCCCGAATTCCTAATTCTCATCCTTCCATATACCCTTCTTTTCAAAAAGCTCTCCCTTTCACACCCCTGAAGTGTTCATTTTTTGGTAAGAAAGTGCTTGCTGACACCTAGTGACAGTTTTCCTTACCTTATTCTATACTTATGTTTGTGTAATTGCTGCCTCCTAAAGTGAAATAATTCACTCTGTCTGGCGCAGCATCCCAGAAATTTTTTACCATGAATTTCCCTTCTAGGCTTTAGGAAGAGGTTATTGCCAAATGTTTATCAAAGTAGACTTAGAACGCATTTCGCTTGAGTGTCGAAATACCGAAACCGAAGTGATTTAAACTGCACATCAGAACGAAGTTCAGTATCACAAGAGACCCTGGATTTTTTTTAAATCCAAACAACCCTTTCTGAGGGCGGTGAAACACGAGTGACAAGTTGGTAGTATGAAAATGGGTATATGGATATGTGGCCATGGCACTGACGTGATTATATTTTTGGTCAATCACAGAGCTTAGTGAAGCAGAATCAAGACAATCTCGTTTTACTTGCGACACTCAATTGAATATGGCTCTAACGAAAAACTTACTGAATAAGACTTGGTAAGCAAGATTGGCAATAGAAATGTCCACAGCTCGTCTGCATGGCCTCTCTCAGTAGGAACCCACAAGCGCTGCAGAAGTACTTAGCGTCTATAACATTCTTGTCTAGACTTGCCAGAGGATATCCAGGCATTCTCTTCTTTTTTTTTTGTTCTCTTCCCGTCTATTTCTCAGGATGGATGAACTAACACCAAGGTCGAAAGGTCATAAACTCTGCCTATAGACAGAAATCCTCTTCGCTTGACTAATAGTCTCGAATCACTTTTGACCAGGGTAAGCTATGAAAGTTAAACAAACATATGTTCTGCATCAAAAAAAGAAAAAGTAAAACAGGCACCGACAGACTGCTTATCTGACATGAATAAACTGGCGCTTGTATTAAAGAGGTTCTTTGGTTGAAAAAAATTGGTTTTCTCTCGAAAGTAAGGAGTTAATGCATGAAAGAGAAATATATGCAAAACGCACGTGTGAAAAATTATAGAGCAGTCAAATAAAAAACCAAGAATGGAGTGTTGTTTTAGCAACAACGTAAAGTTATTATCTACTTTATAAGCATTATATGAAATATGCCTCTGTTAATTGCAAATGACATAGCTAACACTCGTATAATATACATAAAGTTTCGTGTTCGAAACAAAACAGAAAAGAGGAATGATGAAAAATATAGCCCAACTGGCATACCAGTTAAAATTCATATTAATCATGATGGTGTCAGAGCGACTGTGATCATGGTCGTGGTCGTCCGGTCGTTTACGAGCGTTCAATTAAGGTTTTCTTCTTTTTTTTTTTGTTGTTTTCACCTAGAATGCGCGGAAATCTGCTGATATATCGAAAAATGTCCATTTCTCGTCTTCTTTGGGGCGACCGATGGAAACTTCATGGAGAAATACAGCGTTACGCCATCGTGACAATGTACATGTTTATGACAAATGACCGGTGTGAGAATAGTTTCGTGTACATCGGCCGACTTCAACATGTTTTAAATGACATACAAGTATAACAGTGATCTTAAGAGGATTTCGGATCGCTCAAATTCCCATCAAAGAAGGTACAGCACTCGGAATCTGGATGATATGCAAACGATTTGAGGTATATGTTTGTAGTTACGTCGAGTAGTCCTCCATGAAGGTTGGTGAATTTTTTTCAAAAGATGACAATCAGAGGCGAGATTTCTCTTCGGGATATTGCTCATAAGATAACATTCTTTCAAAGCCTCGCGCGTTTCATTTGTCTGAAACATTTGTTGTTGAGAACGTTAGATGTAAACATCGCCAAATTATGCAATATCTGATACTGAGCTTCGTTCGCGAATTGCCCCTATGGAAAGTAGAGGCAGGCCCGCAGAGATTTTTACATATTTAAAAACTAGAATATTATAACCAGCTAGGTGGATAGTTTCAGTTCCAGAATCAATGTACTTTTGGATAAATTCAGATGAACTTCTTCCCTGTTTTACTCGACAACAAAAATGACCGAAACTGTACTGAGATAAATAATCTATTGGTGTGTTCATATTCACTCCCAGGGAAAATTAAATGTATCAATATGAAGACGAATGATGTCAGTATGTATGGTAGAAGTGCCAATTTGTAATGTATTTAGCTTGAGATAGAGAAATAAACATTTCACTCTTTTTTTGCGACGTTTTTGTATGAAAATGAGGCCCTAGGCCTCGAACAAGCAACCGTTGTTACCATGGCAACAGGAGTTCGTGCGACCTTTAACAAGGGCATTTTTGTGCATTCCCCCTGAGTGCCTAACTGCATGCAAAATTTGAAGGGGGGTTGAAAATTTTCATTTCCCAAGATGTTTGATTCCTATAGACTTGTTCCTAAGATGCGTTAAAGCACGCTTCCTTCGTACTCTAGCCGCTTCCTGTGTGCTTTACAACAGAACAGAGTCCATTTAAGGCTTTGTTATTTATCAAACAGTGTTTCTTGTTACGTTCGAGTAAGGAAGGATAACAAACATTACTGAGAAATGTGAGGCAAAATTGAAGGATACTTCTGTGGTAAAATGCAACTCTCGTCGATCCCTCTAGCAGAAAAAAAATATTTCTGGAAAAAGCCATTATTGCGCAAATATTTTAGGTTGACGTAATTGACCTTCTGTTTGTATAGAAGAAATAAGAACGAAATACTTCTTTCTGACTCTTTTATCCAGATAAACTTTATGAAAAAAAATGAGGTTTATGTATGGATGGTCGCGTGATAATTATCACAAAAAGCGTTTGTTTATGGTTCATCTAGTGCGCCAAAGTGCTTTTCGATGTCAATTGTTTACATTAAAAAAGGACTTTTAACTTAATACAATTCTATTGATAAAAAGACAAAATTAAAACAGTTAAAACATGAAAAATAGTGATATAAAAAGTATCCTTTAAACGAGATTAAAAAACGTTTATTTTATGGAGGACAATTCCCAGATTTCGAGGGTTAGTGTGAATCTCTACATCCTGGCATGAAATAATGAAATAATAGAAATAATGAAATAGTAGAAATAGTGCCGTATCAAGTACGTCACAGTTTTTCACAATCTGATTGGTTTTCAGCAAGTGCCACGTGCATTCATTTAAGGAAACATTCAGTAAAAGAAACAACGTGGTAAAAGAAGAAAGAAACTACGTTCATGAAAAGGGTCAAGAGACACGTCATAGCTATAGGAGTACATAAGAAACCTGTTTTCAGCAGGCAAGTGAGATTGAATTCTGTTGCGCCGAATTTTTTTTATACGTGTCAGTTCACTAGATTTCGAAACTTCCTCCTTCGAATTCATTAGAAAAACAACGACCAAGGAACAAGTCACATGTAAACCATGCTCTAACATTGCGAAATCGTATAAGCGATTATCTATTTCTTGAAGGTAAAGAGATGACAGCAATATCTTGTTTCTGAAATTGAGTGTTCGCTGGTAACGCATAAAACTAAAGGATAACACACTTTTTTTCAGTTAGTTATAGATTTCGTTCGGTTTTGTTTTGGATTTATTTTAAATAATTTTATGGATTAAATTCTGTTTGGGGTTTATACACGACAAAGGAAACGTCATAATCATGTCTGTATTTTTGCATCATAAAGAACTGATAATGCCGATATTGCTTGCGGGAGAAATTGATCGTACAGCTAATTTATCACGATGGGTCAGTTTTGAGGGAAGAATTAACTCCAGAATAAAGGAAAGGACGAAATGACAACATTCTGCTTAAATAAATGCCAGGCGCAAAACACACCATTACTCGGGCAGATTGCAGAAAATCCCAAATTTATTTCATAAGATGATCGAAGTTTCCTCATCAATAAGTTGATATTCGTAAGACAGTGAACGAATGAAATGGAAAATATAATTATTTATTTCTATCATAAAGCAAGTTCGTTTCGTGAATACATCAGTTCATTCTGGATATTAAAGAAAACGATGATTTGGATGATTTGAATTCGTAAACAATGGGAAACACCTTATAAGATTCAGCGGGGGCACTGGAAATTATGCAGATTCGTAAAGCCTCCGTACTTTCAAATCATTCATCGATAAGGTAAAATAAAAATAAGAAATATAATCGGAAAGGATTTCGTGGAACTGTAAAATTTTTATTTTAGGTTGAGGTTTTCCTTTTGTGAAGGCTGGCCAAAATTCAACGTAATTTTCATGATAGAGCGAAACATAATATAAGCACCTCAGCTCTCAAGCCATCAAAACAAATGACGAAATGCTTACATAGGCATAACTTTTTCACCTTAGTTTTTCGTTTCTCTGTTCACATCTGTCGGTGTTGCTCGATTCCTATGGTCACCACCAAGGGAATTCTTACGGTCTAAACCTACAAAAAAGCGAAAAAGTTTATTTACCAGTAGAAATATGGCTTTTCTCATTTGACAAATTTTCAGATACGAAACAACAGCTGTTATTCTCCTTTATATCATATCATCCGAGCAGTTACTGCTTTTGTAGGTAGATGCAATATGTCTCGATAAACTGTCTTGGAAACCCAATTTTATGGCTGAAGAAAAGCTTTGTATCAAGGAACTCACATATCCATTGTGGAAATTTCAAGCGAACTTTGTTTCCCATCTTTTAATATGAAATTTATCCTTAGGGAAAGACAGTTCATTTTGCTCTCTGCGCGTGCGCCCGTCTCAGTTTGTTTTGAGTCGTTTCTCGAGTGTTATATAATTTTTCATTTCTTATTGGGAGCAAGGTGTTATGAGTCACGAGTAAGCTAGCCTGCTGTGCAGGATTCTTATTAGGACGAGCTAACGTTATAAGCTCGCGATCCTTTATCCGACCGGCTATGATTGATTTGGAGTTAGAGTGGACGGTGGGGTAGGGGACGGGGAAACGGTGTAATTTCCAATCCGTTCTGTTTCCCACTATGCTTGTATTTGGCAACAAATGCGTAAGCCACAGGAACACCTATCCGTGGTTTCAAGATTACTCATTTCACCATCTCCATCGCTGTTTTCTTCCAAATTTTGTCGGAGCTCGTTTTGGATTGAAACGATACGGTTTATGAGCAGCCATGACCACTATCGAAAAGTAAACACTCGAAACACGTGGGGGGAAACGAAAAGTTGGCTATGCGTTGACTACTTTGAAGTGGATTTTCACTAGGATCGGAACAACTTTGGAAGCTACAACAACGGTGGCTGACACGGCTTAGTGTAAAATATTTATTGGTGGTCACAAAGAATATGTAATTTTTCGAGTGATCTTGTCCTTGGTCAGTAACAAATAATCAAGGCTTAGGGACCACCACGAACATAAAATATTTTATTAGTGACTGACCTATATTAGATCTAATTTAAAACTACATCATTCACTTACCTCGAATAGCTGTGTCAAGTTTAAATTCCTGTAGGTATATTCAGTATTTCTTGCAACGAACAGAGCACCTATCACTATTCTGAAAGAAAAAAAATATCCTTTCATTTTCTACTGAAGTTTCGAAACGTCAGCGTTGAACTGAAAGGAACACTCTCTTCCAATCATAAAGCTTCCTTATATAATTTTGGATCTGGCGAGTGGATAACTTTACAACAGTTTAAAATTTTGATTTTGTATAGAACTAGTGTATTGGCAATAGCAATATTTTGTACCTTCTTCTGCCTCCAGACCTTTTTGAAATCTCCGAGTAAACATATAAATGTCGATTAAATCAATTGCTGTTTCTCTGCCTAAATGTAATCACAACAGGTCAACCCTTTAACCCTTAAGAATGACAATATCACCCCTGAAACATGCCGTAAGGTCATGAGAATAAAGAAATTGTCAAAAGCTAAGGAAGTTGTTGATTGTTACACAAATTCTCCTTGTCAGCACCTTAGGGAATGTATGGAGAACAGTATGGAGAGAATACTTTTACTGATGTTAGAGTGTAAAGGGTTAAGAAATGACTTCATCTTTTTGCATTGCAAAATTCATGTATGAGCTTGGTCACAAAAGATGAGATGCAGACGAAGGAACTGAAGAAAAAAGGAGTGCACACCCGATAGAAGGGTCGCGATGCAAAGTCAACTCGTAATAAATGTGCCGTGACCATGAAGAAAAACTGCCAAAGCAATAAAAGAAAGTAGCATGGCCAAATGGTTAGAACGCTGGCTTTGCAACCCGGAAGTCGCACGTTCGAGTGTGGGTCGCGCCTATTAATGGTAAATTGATTTTTCTGCTTTCATGTAGAATTTTCAAAATTGTTACGTTTCATCTGAATTATTATTTTCTCACTGATTTACTCGGTTCCTCAAACGTTTGCGCGATATACAAGACAAAGGAAAATAGAAACGCTTATTCTGTCGATATTTCAGGAAGCATTTCCTTTTATCGAACCACCTGTAAACACAATAAGGGTTTCCATTTGTTTTCGATGGTGCTCAGGAATCAATTTAACAGATACCAGAGATAAATTTTCGCATCAGATTAGTTTTGCGTCCGGCTTAGCATGCAATCTTTACATACTCTTATAATGTTTGGTTATCTAAAGTAACGCGAGTGCGGTTATGACGACATGTTGTCAATTGAAAAGAGGAGCGTCTATTTTTCATTAGGCGATAAGCTTGAATGCACTGAATGAAATACCAGCAACGTGATTGTCACCGGTGATGATGGCTTTTACGTGGATTTCGATCCTACTCTTCCTAAAAGGAAGGATGTACGCAAGCAGTGGGTCCTCTGAAACTTTAACTTAATTTTTTCAAGTATAACTTCCGGTACTTTTTTCGCTAAGGTTAAGCTAAGGTGACACCAAGTCTTCCTCATTAACCTCTTGACCCCGCAAATCCGCAAGATCGCATTCCGATTGTTAGAACTTGCTCCTTTTCCTTAAGTGGCCGTTTGCCGATTGTTGGTACCGATTTATTAGCGAATTACAATTTTCGGTTGAGCCCTCCTAATGTCTATCCCAGTTCCTCTCATGTTAGCACTACCGATTAACCATCAACTAAGTTAGCCAGCAGAATGGTTTCAAAATCCATGCGCAAACCACGTTTTGTCTGCGCACGCACAATTGGGTCGCCATTTTGAGTGTTGGTTTCATGTGAAGTACGCGTGATCTACAACGTGGAAGCCCCGATAGGAGACAACTTGCCTAGTGGCATTCTGACTTGGTAAGGATATGATTTGATCTCTCGACAGTCAATTCTTAATTAATTTCGCACTTGCTTTACTTCAGGTAAGCGCATGATGTACCGCTGATGCGTCGATGTCAATTTAACACAGCAAGCTCTTTTGAATGAACTAACAAGCCTGCTATAAACTCTAAAAGGATGATTTTTCGAGATAATTGAGCACATTTTTGATAAAAAAAATGTGAACAATTTATGATTGTTCGCGTTTGATGCTAAGTTTGTCAGTGGGACCTGCTGGAAATATCTATGAACTTATAGCTACTATTTCAGTTAACAAGACCTCCTGATAAAACACTTCAGCAGCCGTAAGGTTTCTAGTATTTAAACAACTATGATATAGGTTGATTTAGGAATTCTTAAACTGAATGAACTGGCGACCTCGGTCAGGGGGTCTTTGGTTAGCGAAATTTCCTTCACGGGAACTCCGGCAGAAAATGTGGACATACATTTAGTTGTACATCGCTCCTTAAGCAACCCATTTGTACCTATTCATCGTCGCATAAGAAAGGTTCGGTTTTGTGCCGATTATTAACGCTGATTCATTCTCATTGATCACAACAAAGAGGCTATGCAGGTGTTTAATCACCTAATGTAGCACGATAATATTTAATGCTCACCAATTCAATCTCCTTCTGCCTCTAGGTAGCGTAGTACCGTTTTGCAAAGTCAAGAAAAAATCTGCAAGCTTTAACACACTTGAAAATGTTTTGTTGAGTAATTACTGGCGACTCATTCATTTTAGAGTCGTTGTGAGGCAGGCAGTCGTAGTCAAGTACGCATGCGCGGTAACACGTGATATTTTGCTTTCGTGCGAGGAGCTTCCTTCTACGGCCTTCACCAGCGGAGCATTCGACAAAGATGATTGATTACGTGCTCGGACGAAACATTTCAACTGCATAGAAGTGGGTCAAATCCAGGACTTTTTCATGCTTACTGGCATTCTTCATACCCAGGTGAGGAAATATTTCGGTTTTTAAACACTCTTATTTCTGCAGCGTTACGTTACGCGCATTAACTGGCAGACACCCTAACCACTAAGAAGGCGATACCCGTTGAAAATATTTTATCGGTTAAACTTCCGTGGCTCATCACACTATTGCCATTGAGAGGATGGTGCATAGAAGCTGGTGGAGATAGAACGTCGTATCATCATTTTTATGGAAAGTGCACACGAACGATTTTTATCGACGAGTTGTGATGCATTAACGAGTGAGCGCAGCGAACGAATTAGTTTTTGTATGCATCGCAACGAGTGAAGAAAAATCGTTCAAGCACTTTCCATGGTATGATGGTTTTATTTCATACATACTGAGATTTTTCCTCATTGACCGACACATTTCAAAACTTGGAAGCCATTTTTTTGCCATCCACTGCGAAGTACTATTGTTCTAGTCTCTGATTGGACGAACGATGTATTTTCACAGTCGTTTGCTCAGCATGTATGAAATGAACGTTACTTCGAGGTGTCGGTGTTCTTTGAATAATGACTCAGGCATATATTAGACATAACAAATAACCATGTTAACAGTAATTCATCAGCTGCTTGCGACCCCGCTTTGATAGAATCATGCTGCAAACGGAGCTCTTTTGAAATCTAGTCCTTCTCGAAACGGTGGCATCGGTAGCTACTATGCAAAAGTTACCATGATTGAGACGTTTATGCAGGTGACCGGAAATAACAGATAATCTAGTATGTCGAAAGCGTGGCGTTTAGTTAATGGAACGCCTGAGGTGATCTGGTTAATCCATTTTTTTTAAGAGTACAGCTTCTCTCATTGTTTGAAATACGTTTCGTGATAGACGATCTGCCCAACACACTTGCTTTCCTTTTTGTATCATCCATCATATTTATCATTATGTCTGACATCTTCCCATTCAAGTCGAGATTTATTCTGTTAAAGATTTAATCCTATTAAACGAGAGTACAATTATGCCGTGGTTATCGAAGAATAGATCAGCAGCACACTGTTCTCTTTCACAAGGAACGTTCAGTGCCTGTAATTTAAAATGAAGAGCTACCGTCGAAGCAACAAGGTTCTGTGGTAGACTTCGGGTCACGCAAAGATGTGAGTACTTTCTCCTTTATCATCTGTCACGATGCGCCTCATGAGAAGTTTCTGTGCCATCTAGATACTTTTTTCATGACAAAATTTTTCCCCTTTATTACTCCAGCCCTATTACACGCATCAGCGAAAAAGTCAAGCTTGCTATGTTTACACATCCAGTTATTTTTAAATAAAATTATTGAGTTCACGATACATGATATTTTGATAAGCCCTTGGCCTCAATCCAGGGTTATGAGTAGATGTCGGGTAGTTCGAAAGAAGTAAACGACGTCATTCAGGATCACGCGATCAAGGAGTGTAAATATCAAACTATCAAATATCATTCCTAGAACTCCAAATTCGTCAAGAAATGCATTTGTAAAAGTGATCTAAAGATAACTTTCGGCTTTAACCAGTTGTAATCATTAAAGCAATCAATTACTACTATGCGACTGAAAACAGGACGAGAAAGTGAATTTTAAGACAGTTGTCTATGAACGTGCTTCGGTAAGCACATTCCGTCGCTTTAATTAGTTGTGAATCATTGAAGCAATTACTTCTGTTCGACTGAAAATAGGAAGAGTAAGAGCAATTTAAAACAGACTTTCATGATTGTGCTTCGGTAAGCACGTTCCGTCGCATCAACCAGTTGTGAATCATTGAAGCAATCACTACTTTTCAACTAAAAACACTGGACGAGTACGAGCAATTTAAGACAGCCGTTCATGAATGTGCTTCGGTAAGCACAATCTGTCGACCCTTGAATGGCACATACTGGAAGCAAATCAATACTTGTAGGCTCCTTCCCGTCGTCGTGTTTATTTGCAATTTGATCATTTTAATGTTTACGAAATTTGCTAGAACTGTAAATCCTTTCATTAAAATCACGCCCGATCTAAACCCGCCGACACGAACTAAGTGAGTAAAATGCTCTCCTACGCAAACAATTTCAAATGTTGGCATCCTTTGCAAATCAAAACAAAGGATTCTTTTCTTTTATCCCACACCCCAACAGTTTTTTAATGCCCAGAAGAAAACTTTACAACGAGCTTGCATCTGCCTCTTGAACGGCTATTTCATTGAAAAACCTTCTGCAAATGCCAACATGGCATAAATATTTTTTTCCAACCTCAAAGAAAAATCGGTGATTGCAATTACCACAAACCTCTCAGTGACACATTGATGCGATGGAATGTTTGTAGCAACGTAGTTCGACTGTCCTCGGCAGCATGAAGTGGGTGTCCGTTTGTCACGTCAAAGGCATTGTTTCAGACTGACAACGTCAATCAAAGATCAATCTGCGCGATTTTCTCCTTCGAAATAAATTCAATGTACTTTCCCGAGACTTTTGATTACAAATGCACTAAATGTATATTTGATATTGTCTTTCCACGTCGGTGATTGACAGCAAAGAATAATACTATTATATGTCGCTCCACTTACAACCATAGGTGTCGCAGCAGAAAATATGCCACTGTTTTTATTGATGAGGTAAACTGCCTTAGTTTTTTAAATTCCATAGCCTCATTTGTGTTCATCTATTTATCCATAAAATGTTATGATCAACTCCTCTTTAGCTAAATTCACGTATGTACGGAAAGCGTCATGTAAGACGTGCTTTATAAACAGAAGGTATTCCAGAGTCAGTGCGCGTAGTTTATAACTTTGGATAAAAACAAACGACAGCATTTTCTCCCGTTGTGTTCCCTTCGTTTTAAAAGTAGATCGAGTAGAATGAGTCATTATTTGGCAAAATTTTTCCCTATTTAACATTAGTTTACGATTCAAAAATCAGAGTTTTGTTGCATTTGTATATAAAAAGCTACCTTGGGAGGTGTTAGATTAATATTAGTTTGCTCTAACAAAAACGATCACTTGGTCATATCTTCCTGCTGTATACGGATAAACTCTTCTTGATCATTGAAACTGAATACTAGTGGACTTAATTAATAGACTAAAATAAAACAGATGAATACTTTATCTGGGCTGGCACAAAGCAGAGTTTAAAAACATTTTATCAAATTGTTTTGGCCCCCTGAATCTGCTGAATCTCTTGTTTATTGCTAAGCACGTGCAAGGCCTTCGTAAACCAATTCAAAACGTAATGTAAAGAAAATTGGGTTAATTGATGAAATGCCGTGTATCGTAGAATTCATTGGCACATAACTTACGAATGTTTTCCATTTCAATAATTGATCGTATTTATAGTTAACAGCGGTTGTGAACTTCTTAGATTTGTTTAACATTGTTACTGAAGTCCAGACGTTCTCTTCGGCACTGTCATTATCATTATCGTTTTGATTGTTTCATCTTTTTCACGTCTCTTTTTATTTCGTTTTATTTCATTTCATGCTTCTTTTTTAGTGATGGCACAAATTTAAATTTCAGTTATGCATGTAATGTTCAACATCTCAGCTTTTTCAAGCATTCATTACATAACATGGCCATTGATGGCACCAGTTTACCCGTTTATAGTCCCGAAAACAGCAAATCACATGTGTACTGCCCTTCAATGATTTGGATGGGGGATTCCTTGTGAAGCTCATTAAACTTACCAAACCATGCGATGAGTTCCATTCTGCAAATGTCTGCTCGTTTGGGAAGTTCATGACTTACAACAAAGTAAAAAAGGTAGAAACGTTTTAATTTTGAACTATAAAAGAGAAAAATTGTTTACTACTTCAAAATCTCGTACCAGTGTGTAATTATCCATTATTTCATTGCTCCCACGTGTGACACAGCTGTTCACACAATTGCAAACACGTGGTTGATTGTGGTTCTCATTTTCTCCACGATATTAACACATGCTGAAATGAACCTGTTTTTTGACCTCCTTGGAATACAAAGGCAGTATGTCTTCTTTTACGAAATTTGTATTATCTACTGAACTGCAACATTTCTCTACTTGCTTTATATAAATCGCAAAGTTAATCACCTTGCAATTTATAAAATACATCATTAGGTCAAACTAGCACAAGTTTCAATTTGTTCACGTCAAAAGACATTAACTCAGATATTTATAAATAGCAAGTCGACAAATGTTGCATTTGTGTGTGCTTGTTTTTCTATCAATGTTCTGATCAAATCGTGTGATTTGAAATTGTCCTTTTATTTTCATGTGATACCGAGAAACGATCTTTGGTGGCAACACTGATCGCATCATCAAACTACTAACCTATAATGTATATAACTCGCCGAAAAAGTTGGCTCAGTCATTTACAGAAGTAGATGTATGTGTATGGACATCGTGTTTATTTCTGCCCTGTTCTGGCTGTGGTCGTAATTGCTTTGCCTAAAGTGAGGAATGAGAGAGGTTGCCAAAAATAAATACCGCAGCGAACGATATATATCTATATTTCTTGCAAAATTTGTATTTTTGGTCATGAGATGGCCTTTTAAAAGTATAAACGCTATTTCCGAAAGATTTCATATGTGAGGCAATATTTGCTTTATCTATCTTTGGAATCAGTCACTAAAAGAGGCGACATGTGTCACTAGAAACCTCTCAACTAGAACTTGCTGATTTCAGACCTTGTAAACCGGTAGAACATTAACTTACCCTGAAAGCATTAATGACTACTACACCGCTCTGTTATAGGTAATGAGAACTAAATTTTAATTTTACTTTGGATTCCTGAAATTTTTTTTAGAGATTTCGGCCAATTCTCAAGATACCTCGTGTCAGTTTTACACTCAACCCAACAGCAATGTACAGTGTTGACCATTTATCGATCCTCGATGGCTAACCTCAAGCCTATTTGGCAGGTCGGCTGTACTTGCGTGACTTGTTTCAAACGAAAACAAATGGCGTGTCTTTTGCGACTTGTATATCACACGTAACGTTTCGTTACGCTGCCCAGGTCGCATTTTTTATATATATGATCCCCGACGTGTGATTTGTGAATCGCAAGAACGTTTGATAGATCTTTAAATCTCAAACGCGATTCAGAAATCGAAAATTTTGAACATCCAAATGTGCAATTTATAATTTGTTCAAGAACTAAATCGCAAATACCTGTACAATGTCTAAATCGCAAATGTTTAAAGAGACCCCTGATTCAGACAAATATTTCCATCCGTCATAGGTTATCTTATGTTTAAGAGCAGCAGTAATGTCATCAAAATACCTTATCAGGTGTTTTCGTGTGTATTATCGTCGAGTATTTTTACGAATTGTACCGTTTTTTTGACAAGCCCGCAGCCGGAGTGGGTTAAAATACAAACAAAGAATAAAAACACTGCACGGAAAATGTTTACGATAAGTTATTTACTATCTAATTGTCTTTGCTTTCTTCATAGTGTTCATGTTCTTATTTTGCTCAATGAACTAACCAATCTAATGAATGTTTAGTACGTCAGCATTTGGAAGAGAAACAATTCCTATATAACTTGCCAAGAAAAATTTCAAAATCGAGGTCGAACGTAGGAAGCAGGTTAACAGAGTCGCAATCAGCAAATGTTTACATTGCGAATGTGTCGTCTATTTGTTTTCGTTTGAAACAAGTCACGCAATTATAGCCGACCTGCCAGATAGGCTTGAGGTAAGCCATCGAGGATCGAGAAATGGTTAACACCATACACTGCTGTTGGGTTGAGTGTAAAACTGACTCGAACCAATAAAAGCTCTTGGACTATATTTTACCTATGACCTAAAACTGCTCAAAGAAAAGAATTTCATCGAACGACTGGATAGTATTAAAAAACTGATCAACATTTGGTCTTCAAGAGGTCTTTCAATCTTTGGTAAAGTGGCAATAATAAAATCCTTTCTAATTCCAAAATTTGTTTATGTATGCTCACTTCTGCCTACACCCAACGAGATGGTGAAACAATTGAATCAATTGCTTTTCAAATTCTCGTGGAAAGGAACAGATAAAGTAACGCATCTGTCAACAATAAATGATTATGGGGAAGGTGGATTAAAAATGATTGATTTAGAGAGCATGGTTAAAGCTCTGAGATTGGCATGGCTTAAACGAATATTTAACGCAAATGATGGAACATGGAAGCGGTACTTACAACACCAATTGAAAACATTTGGAGGACTGTTCTTTTTAAATTGTAACTATGATGTTAACGATTATAAAATCACTTCCCAGTTTTATCGAGAGCTTCTTCTATGGTGGTCACAATTTCGTGAAACTTTCGCTACAGACTTGAATCGGACAAATAATATTTGGAATGATAAAGAAATTAGAATAGATAAAAAGCCTATCTATTACAAAAAATATTTTGACTCCGGAATCACTTACATCCACGATCTCCGGCTCGATTTGAATATTAATGATTCCTTCAGTTAAGTTTCAAATAAAATTAGAAAAATTAGCTTTCTACAATGGGCAGGTCTTCGACACTCGATACCTGATTTTTTGAAAGATGATCGTGATTATATCTATACACTAACGCCTTCTTCACTTCAAATAAATAACAACATTTTTGATGTGAAGAAAAAGAAATCGAAAGATTATTACTCCTTACTTGTTATGAAGAAATCACAGCCTCCTAATATTGTTCATAAATGGAAAAGCGACTTTAATATCTCAGATGATCTATTGAGGGAATCTTTCATTTTACCTCACTCTGTTGCACTTGAATCCTATGTTAAGGCTTTTTAGTATAAAATCCTTAACAATATACTCTACACAAACACGAAATTGTGTAAAATTGGCTTTAGAGCTGATGACTTATGCACTTTCTGCGAAGCTGAGCGAGAAACGCTATATCACCTGCTTTATCAATGCACTTATGCGAGACAGTTCTGGAATGATTTCGAATTGTACTGGTTCCGGTTGTCAAATCAGGTAGTTCACCTGACTTTGGAAAATGTTTTATTTGGAATGCTTTCAACACAATGCCCTTCACATACACAACTCAATTACTTTATTATTATCGGAAAACTGTTTTTGTGGGACTGCAGAAGAAAACAAGTACACGCTAAAATACAAGGTTATCAGAACAAGATAGCTATCAAATATGAAATTGAAAGAAAAATAAATAAGAAAAACTTCTTTGAAAAGAAATGGATATTCAAATGAAAAGGAATGGTTAATAATTTAAAAAATCTTAAGCCGATTTGCCTTCTATCCTGTTTTTTCTCTCTTTTTTTTTACGTTATGTTGCGTGGTTTAATTAGTTTAATTTGTTTAATTTCTTAAGCTGAAAATAGGGTAACTGCGTAAGATTGTTAAATATATCGAATTGTTATCATTTTTAACCTATTTTATGAATGTAAAATTGTAACTGTGTAAATGAAAGGTCAGAATAAAAAAAAAATTAAAAAATAAAAAATATTTTTAAAAAAAACTGACTCGAGGTGTCCTGAGAATTGGCCGAAATCTCTAGAAAAAATTTCCGGAATCCAGAGTAAAATAAAAATTTAGTTCTTATTACTTATAACAGAACGGTGTAGTGGTCATTAATGTTTTCAGGGTAAGTTAATGATAAACCAGTTTACAGGGTTGAAATTTTTTTCCATATTTGACGGTGCAAAGGGAATAATAACTTGTAGTTTAACAATATTGAACTCGTCTTTATTTTCTCTTAGTCTTGTTTCTTGTAAATCAACGAATAAAACAAATTGGAACTATTTCCAAACTTGAACTCATGCACCGAAATTGATTGAACTTTGTACCAAAGTGCAAAGTATTACCCAGAACTATTGAAATATATCGCTGTCATGTATATTTCGTTTTTTGAAAAAGAAGGCTAAAGGTCCGTGCGCTTCATTTTTCACTATTTTAAACCTTACAATTCAATAGTGCTTTGATTGGTTAACGCGAAAGTTAATGGATAAATTGGCCTCATGATTCCCTTGCTTAGAGGACTTATTTCCATGAACAAAGCTGCCACTGAAAGCGTAAAGTCTAAAGCGGCGACACAATTGGGTCAAGTGGCTTTAAATGGCACGTTTTTTAAAGTTTTCTTACCTCCTCGTCTGAGTCGAAGAATCAGTAATACTGCAAATTTTTGACCACCAGAAAAACATCAGATGAAACATCAAATAGTTCACAGCGTTGCTTCAAAACGATTGAAAAAAACCACCAGAAGAACTGCCTGAAAGTTTCACAAGAGTATTCTGAAGTTCTACTTATCCACAGAAAAGAATACTAGACATGTCACTCACTGTGGATGAGTTTGCCTAAGAAGAGGAACCCTTTTACCTATTATTTTATTTCCGACCCTTGGTCGGCACATTTTTAGAATTTAAGTGATTGTCAGACGCGTCACAGTTTTTAATAAAAGTAAAGATTGAATTGATTTCACATAGAATGGTATGACCACAAGAGGAAACACGCAAATGTTGTGAGAAATATGTTTTTTCGTCATGTCACGAGTGTGGGACAAAGAAAAAATTCCAAGTTCCAACGTGGAATCGAACCTCAGACCTTCGGTGTGCTCTAATGCTTTACCACTGAGCCACAGAGACTCCGCGGTGAGTGAGGTCTATTACTAAGTTCATAGGACACGCGTCCTAATGTCGATAGCGTCATGTTTGTATCAATCAAACTTGGATTGATTGAGTTCAATTGATTCGGTAATCGATCATAATCGAACAAGGAAATTTTCTGTGAGTTCGATTAATAATGGTAGTGCAATTTGGGCTGGAATCGTACGTGTGATTTCAAAATCGAAGGAGCGTGCAGCGCGAGTACGATTTGAAATCACAAGTATGATTTCAGACCAAAATTGCACGACACGAGGTTCAATTACCACTTTATTACATCCATTTTGAAATCGCCCAAATGCAGGACATGGTAAGTTCAAATATTTTATCGATGCAGTACTGAGCCGACACACTTGAGGGGAAAAGGAAGGGTGGTTTCTCCCCCACTGCTGACCGCGGAACCCGCGGAAACCAAAATATTTTGTAAAAAACGAAAGGAATAAATAAAAATAAAGAAAGCTTTGTTCGAAATTTTGTTTTCAAGAACAAAGGAAATTACGTTAAGCGAAATATGTTTTAATCTTCGTTGAGGTCCAACCACCAACCACCAGCCCAAACACAACAAATATGCAGATATGTTAACGTTGCACAGTAGACGAAATATTAGGATTTGAATGGGAATAGGGTCGCGCTCTCAACCTAAAACATCTAAACTACGAGTAGTTTTTTGATTGAATTTTATGACATGATTTCTTGGGCTGATTTAGGGCGGTATAGCTCGATTTTATTTCATCTGCTTTTCCCTCTTTATACTCCATACCCAAGATACGTCAGTACTGTAACGCCAACCGAACGAGGAACGCGGTGAATTTGCTCCCGAAATCCCACATGCATCACGGTTAATAATTACCTCCGGCTCGCGTTCCTCATTCGAGAGTCACGTTAAATGAAAAAGAATTAAAAGCCGTCAATTCCACCCTGAAGGTTCGCAGAGAGCCTTCTGGATGAAGCCTATGTCGGGATTATCTGAAGGTGTTTCACTTTAATTGCTATTTAACAGATCCAAGAGGAAGAAAGCGAAAGGAGATAATTTTTGCCTTGCTTATGTCTAGTTTGCGCGAGGATTCCTTCTTGAGGGTGTTTCCGTTGTCAAGTAGTATGGAAATTTGACCGACTTAATCTTACTGTTGATTTTCGTGTCACGCGTTACACAAGGAGGATTTCAGTCAAATAATAACAATGCTTAACTATGCGTAATATATTATGGTTCAATGTAATCTTTAAGAAATGTATTGATTAATAACATTTAATCAGAGGCCACCTTCTCTCTACTCAGCCCTACTTCTGCACATGCTTCTAAACATGTACACGTGGTCGTTTGGACTGCGTCTCTTGAAAAATCGCTCACTCGCATGTGCTTTTTTTTCAGTTCGTCTAAAGTTTACAAATTTTCAAGCTTCTTCTTATCATGTCGGTGCTGACCAAGTTTTGAAAATTCATCAGTTAATTTGAAGGGTCTCGCTATTGCGAAATAGAAATGAAAGGAGATGTCCGTGGTTGGTACCGATATTAAACACAAGGATCATGAAATTTTGAATCAACTAAAATCTCAAAATAATAGTCTCTGAGGGTGTACAAACACCAAAGAGGGAAGAGGAAAACGTAAAAGAACTGGAATAGAAAAGGATGAAGAAGATCAAGAGGGATTGCAAACTATGATCTTCGCAAATCTACGATGAACATTTAGAGGAGCAGAGTCACTAGGAAGATAAATATATGTTCATCAAGGGCTCTGGTTATCAACCACTCGCCGTCATTGAATGACCTCCCTTATTTCAGATAATAGTTCCTTTGAAAGTTAAGCAAACCTTCTAACGGAGCCATAAAACATCGTAACCATTACTTCTAAGAAATGACCGGAAGACGATCTCGAAAATCCCTTTAATTGAAGATTGTATCAAAATCAGTTTTATGGGCATAATTTATTTTGACTGACCGCTTTCGTCGAAATGAATCGCAAAGTATAAGCCTTACCTCTGATTGAAAGTCAAGGATGACTTTGGAAGGACAAGCACCGAATAAGTTGGATGGAAACGTTAGCAAGCACGTGGCGTTAGAGAGAGGATTTAACCGGAACTGAAGTCTATTAAGAACTTTTCCAAAGCACGTGATCACTACATTGTGTCATTGTACATAATTAGAAATAATAGTTAATTCAAGTCACGCCAAGGGGAGCCGGCATCTTTTCTTGAAGTAACGACATTCTCGTAACGCTGGAATTTTCATAAAGGAAACCTTCTGCTATTCCTGTCGTTGAAGTTACTTAATCTGGACCAGAAAATTTTGTACATACGATAAACGAGGCTGAGAATTCAATAATTTTGAATCTTATTTGAACCAAGAGAAAATCAGGGGACCAACTTGATCATTTGACACAGTTTATCATAACATACCATTAGATAGATAAACTTAGGTGTTGTATACTTCGATAGAGTAATAGTATTAGAATAGTTCTGTAATTAACTTGACAGCGACATGGAAACTGACTGATAAATAACTTGAGACAGGTATACGACTCCTTGATTTAAAAGAAGGGAGATCAGAATGCCATCGTATATTTTGTCCGACAAACATCGAGTGGAAGAGCGTACATGGGACAAACTTTGATCATCGGTTATATTAAGCTTAAGTCACTTTTAGCCTACTTTCTCGATTGACCTTAGGTCTAGGGTTTTGTTAGTTGAAAAGATTGATGTATGTCGTCCATATGCAGTATATATTGAATTTAAAATCGAACCAAAGACGACGACAAGGAGAACACCAAGTTACAAATCAAAAGTTAAGGAAATTTCCAGTCAAGATGGTTTGACGGTATGCCATCGGCGAAATAGAACTTCAATTATATAAGTCATTTCC